AGAGAGAGAGAGAGAGAGAGAGAGAGAGAGAGAGAGAGAGAGAGAGAGAGAGAGAGAGAGAGAGAGAGAGAGAGAGAGTAAAACTGACGGATCGGAACATGGTGCAGATGTTGCACATACAGGCCACAACCAAGGTCCAGATAACCAATTATTTCTCAAACCCCATTCAATTCCAACTATCAGTCCACTGAGGCAACCCATTCTCCTTTTCACTTGATGCATTGACAGCACCCATGAGGGCAGACTCTACCACAGCTATCATAGTGGTTTTGCACTTCTCGCACAACCATGTAATGCAGTTTGTGTATGTATGCAACCTTGCCATCATATGCAAGACACAGAGTACAGTAACTACAGGATGTGATCCAGATTTCTGGTCTGTCTGGTGGTTTTAAGTGGATGATCATCCACCTGTGGCGTCTGGGCTACCGGACCACAATGGCTGGTGGCACCAGCCAAAAAAGAAAAGAAGTACACGGCCTGCGCGCAGTGCAAGCACTGCCAGGCCCATGTTCATTTATCGCGCCAGAAGTTTTTGACTGTCGAACACCAGTACATGCATCCCCTAATTTCATTACTTCAGTTACTGCGGAAGTGCACAATCCATCAGCAGGTATGACATTCAAGCACAAAAGATGGGAAGTTCAACATAGAAGACATATCGGCCACATCATCGAACAAACTGATTGTCGCCACGGTCCCTGCCATTCTGAAGTTTTCAAATCTACAATTAGCTAAATTGTGCATACATATCACTGCTAGCAAAGAGATCATGAGTTCAAATGCAGGTGGAAGCTCTTTTCTTCCTTCTATTTTTCATTTGATGTGCCCTCGGCAGAAGCCTTAGGCGTCACGTGCGTTCAAGGTATCCGTGGCTCACGGATTTGAAATTCTGCAATTCACATTCCCAGCAAAGGTTCCGAAAGGTTTGGATATTTGCTGTACTTGTTGTATTTTGGGACGCTGGACCCGGTTTCCAGCAGGTGAGACTCCCCACAACTAGATTGGAGAATCCAGCGGCGGCATGTTACTAGTGGGTGGTGCTCTTACGGCCCCACCTAGTAACTGAGGCTGGATTAAAAAAAAAAAAAAAAAAAAAAAAAAACGTATTGCATTTCACTGCAGTCTTTATCGTTGGGAGGGCCAAGATATTCGTTTGTAGAGAGTGTGGTTTTGCAGGATGGTAGATAGGAACCGTGGGACTCTCGTAAATCCAGGGGGAAGCTCTCAATGCCACACAACACACTTTAATGCAACCAGAAATGAAAGTTTGAACTTGCAGACAAAGAAGATTTTATCATAAAGGTATTGAATACAATTACTAGGGATCACTGATTAGGTGTTATGTACACAGGACGTTGTCACTGACTCAAAATACTGAGTGCAGCTCCAACCAAGAATTATCGGCTCTAATGGTTAGGCTGATTGCTGATGGGCATGAAGGCCCCCTAAGAGGCTAAGACTGAACGGCAGTGCTATCCAGCCATACAGCCAGTGGTAAGAACAGAGCAATTAATTAGGAAACATCATGACCAGTCCCTCCCCCCCAGCCATAGCATCCTGTCTAGTTCTGGGCATGAGCTGCCCTCCAAGAAAAAGCTAAGTAGTGCATGGTGCTATCTGAGTATGATGTTAATAGTGGATTAGCCTGTATACAGTGTATAGTCTATACATCTAAGATCCAGGGACGAAGTTCTGGGCGTAGGCCCAGGCGTTGTTGGCGACCGGGTCAGCCAGATGGTCGTTCAGGTTCTCCAACGGGCCCTTGCCGGTGACGATGGCCTGGACGAAGAAGCCGAACATGGAGAACATGGCCAAGCGGCCATTCTTGAGCTCCTTGACCTTCAGCTCCGCCAAGGTATCGGGGTCGTCGGCCAAGCCCAAGGGGTCGAAGCTGCCGCCCGGGTAGAGGGGGTCCACCACCTCTCCGAGTGGCCCACCGTTCACTCTGTAGCCCTCGACGGCGCCCATGAGCACCACCTGGCAGGCCCAGATGGCCAAGATGCTCTGAGCGTGGACGAGGTTGGGGTTGCCCAGGTAGTCTAGCCCACCCTCAGAGAAGATCTGAGCGCCGGCCTTGAACCACACAGCCTCGCCGAACTTGACGCCACTGTTGGCCAACAGCTCCGGAGTGAGGCAGCCGAGCGCGCCGAGCATGGCCCAGCGGGCATGGATCACCTCCAACTCCCTGTTGCGAGCGAACGTCTCGGGGTCTGCGGACAGTCCAGCGGTGTCCCAGCCGTAGTCGCCAGGGAACTCGCCAGTCAGGTACGATGGAGTTTCACCGGACAACGGGCCAAGGTACTTGGGGCGGTCGGGGCCATACCTGCATTGCACATGCAAACCCAAGCATAAACAGGTATAAGAGCACGACAAAAAGCCACCACAATCAGTAATATGAATGAACCCTCAGCATGCAGGGCCTGGTTAGACTTACACATGGTGTGCAAAAAGGGGTGCACACTGCACAAACAACGGAGAGATCATGAGGCAAGAAATGCGGGAGAGGGATCAAGGGTCCTTTCCTGGTAGCTTAATGGCTCACACATGTACATATAAGCAGACCAACCGTTCAATCCCTACTGGATACAAGGAAGCGAGGGGTTACCTCAGCTTACCCCTGTAACAAGAGACAAAAGAAGGAAAAAAGGTGGGCAGGCGAAGCAACACACGCGCAGGAGAACATAAATATGGAGGAGGGAAGCTCACCACATCAACATGCAGATGATGAAAGGGACAACAAAGGTACGTAGGTACGAACTCCATCCATGCATAGCACATCAACATGCAGGCGATGAAAGGTACAACCAAGGTACGAACTCCATCCTTCCATAGCACGCCAACATGCAGATGATCAAAGGGACGACCAAGGTACGAACTCCATCAATCCATCCATCCATCCATCCATTCGTCGGAGGTTTCCAAATCCAAACTCAAGAAGGAAATGAAAGTTCCGGACTGTACAGAACCGGGCTCGACAGGCCATCTTTTTAACACCTCCCTTCAAGCTCGAGAGGCCAGTGCACGATCAGCTTCTTCGTGTCATTTTATATATTTTAATCGGTGGCCTAATACAAGAAATGTTTGCCGTAAGAAAATGCATCAAGTCGAGTACAGATGGAGGGGGACTAAGGTGCTCTCGGCCATAGCCAACGCAACAAGCAGCCATTGCATACTTGCCAAGGGAACAACAGTGTGGTTGCTTGTGCACAAGCAGGTTGAAGGAGCCATAGTCAAAGGCACAAGCAGCCATATTCAAAGTCATAAACAACCATTCGAACCGCAAGTACACAGGTGACCGATGTACACGTGCCGAGAGAGCTCTGCGTAATAAATATCCCTTTTTCCCTCTTTTTTTTGTCTTTCGGAAAAAATTGTCTGGCGCCCCTCTAATTTCCGTTATTTTGTGCCGTGCCCCTCCGACGGCCCACTTTCTCTGTCGTGCCCCTTTCAGCAAGGGCGCAACTTTCGACGGTGCCATTACTGGACGGCCAGTCTCATTTCGTCGGTCCCTGTGCGATATGCCTTCATGAGCGGCATGCATCTTTCCATGATGCCCTTGCGCCAGAAATTCGGATTTGAAGCACGTGCTGCCGCAAAAGATGACCCCGTGTGTGTGTGTGTGTGTGTGTGTGTGTGTGTGTGTGTGTGTGTGTGTGAGAGAGAGAGAGAGAGAGAAGAGGTAAGTCTCCAACG